TGTGCATGACAGGGGGGAGCTCCCCAACCCCCTGATCTGCCCTGCTGTGTGTGTGACAGGGTACGGAGCCCCAACCCCCCTGATGGGCCCTGCTCTGTGAGTGACAGGGGACAGCGCCCCAACCCCCTGATCAGTCGACTCTGTGACATGGGTGGCGCCACAACCCCTGATCCGCCCTGCTCTGAGCCCAACCAGGTGCTGCAGGGCAGGCACCTAGGGATTGGACCTGCCCTCTGCCACCTGGGAGCAGGCCTAAGCCAGCAGGTCATTATCTCCCGAGGAGTCCCAGACTGTGAGAGGGCACAAGTGGGGCTGAGGGATACCCCCCCCCCGCCAGTGCAGAAATTTTTGTGCACTGGGCCTCTAGTAATCCTAATAATAGACAAACATGGTAATTGACCGTACCTTCGCTACGCCTCCCATTGGCTAATCACCACGATTTGCAAATTAACCGCCAACAAAGATGGCGGTTAATTTGCATACTGCAGGCAGAGCGGGACACCGGGAGCCGCCATCCAGGCCCCCGTGTGCGACCCCAGGAGCCGCTGGAAAGCCAGGCCACAGGCAAGGCGACCCCGTGGGACCCAGGAGCCGCCTTGCCTGCGTCCGTGATCGTGATCAGAAGGCCGGGCCATAGGCAAGGCGACCCCCCGGGACCCAGGAGCTGCCTTGCCTACGTCCCATGATTGTGATCTGAAAGCCGGGCCGCAGGCAAGGCGACCCCCCAGGACCCAGGAGCCGCCTTGCCTGCAGCCCGTGATTGTGATCGTGATCAGAAAGCCGGGCCGCAGGCAAGGCGGCACCCTGGAACCCAGGAGCCCGTTGGCGAGGTCTGCAGGCAAAGCAGCGATCAAGCTATGAGGGGGAGGGTGGGGGGTGGAAGGAGCTACAGGAGCAGCTCTGGCCGGAGACTGAAGACTCCCGCCGGAGCGAGGAGCAAAGACTGAAGGCTCCAGCCGCAGCGAAGACTGTGTCCAGAGCGAAGATGGAAGGCGGTGGCCAGAGTGAAGGTCTGGGTCCCGGGTGCCAGAGGAAAACTGGTGCCGGCAGCCAGGGGAAAGAAGGCCTATTGCACGAGTCTTCGTGCAACGGGCCTCTAGTCTATATAATAAAAGCCTAAGCAACCCTTATGGCAGAACAACCAGAACGACCGGTCGTTATGATGTGCACTGACCACCAGGGGGTGGACGCCCACATGGGGAGCGCCATTCAGCCAGAAGCCGGACTCACTGCTGAGGAGTGCAGAGGCAGTGGCGGGAGCCTTTCCCGCCTCGGTGGCAGCGCTAAGGAGCAGCAAGCAGGCAGGCGTTAAGGAGCGAGGGGTCCCGGACTGTGAGAGAGCGCAGGCCGGGCTGAGGGACCCCTCCCCCTCCCAGTGCACAAATTTTGTGCACTGGGCCTCTAGTTATTAATAATGACCTACATTGTTCACTAATGACTGATTACTATAATCATGTTGCATTCATTTCCCTTACGCGCCTTATGTGCAAGGCACACCATTTCTCTCCATTAATACTAGCAGCAAATATTTTAGCAGCTGATTGCCATGTTAATAGTCTTGGACTGACTTGTTCGATGTGCACAACAGGAAATATTTCACTTTTGGAGAACAAGAAAAATAGGTTTATTTGCATTACGCTTATTTATTTGTGCAGTTACTCAGTGTCTGGTAAGTTAATGTTCAAGAAAAAATATTAATTTTTATGAAAATGTTCTTCTATTTTATGTTAACGATTACTCATTTATTTCAGCCCTTTGTATTCAGCATGTCTCTATCAAAATAAACCTATGTTTCTATGAAAATTGAAGCTTTTGTTTTTTTGCGGCTCACATCAACTTAAACCTTGTTTATCTGGCCTGTTTTAGCCTTTGAGTTTGACATGCTTGATCTAGAGCAGTGGTTCTCAACCTGTGGGTCGCGACCCCTTTGGGGGTTGAACGACCCTTTCACAGGGGTCGCCTAAGACCATCGGAAAACACATATATAATTAATTACATATTGTTTACAGTAGCAAAATTACAGTTATGAAGTAGCAACGAAAATAATTTTATGGTTGGGGGTCACCACAACATGAGGAACTGTATTAAAGGGTCGCAGCATTAGGAAGGTTGAGAACCACTGATCTAGAGCAATCCCTGGAAAACTTCCTAACACTTTCATCACTTCAACACTACACATTCTTTAAGCACTTAACGCAGATTTTTCAATAGAGGCCAGTGTTCGAATACATTTTCATTTGTAATTATCTTTCCTACCCACATGTTTTACCACTCTATCCCAGTTAAAATACACAAAAGATTTTGATTCTTTCAGCAATAACAGCACAATAATTTAAAGAATCTGTTGAATGCATGACATCTCCGTACTTTCTCAGTTTTAAACAGTGTAAAATTATTACAGCACTACAGAATTTAAATATTGAATCAAGACTATTTCCTAAAGGCAGATGTACTTCTTCAAACTTCATAAAATATGGCACAAGTTTATTAAATGAAAAGAATTACTGTTACCTCCTCAGCTACTTTCCTCAGTTTAATACTATTAATAATACAATCACCACATCTATCTCAGAAAGTTTCTTCTCACTAATCTCAAACCAACTTTATGAACATGCTATCCACATTATTGAATGATTAAATATGAATTAACATCTGGGTAGAAGGACAGCACATTTTATCAATAAAGAAACCACAACAGCAAGCAATTTGCTCAATACAACTGTCAAATCAGTTGAGATGAAACCAGAAAGTCCATTTCTCTACCATTTCTTTCAAGTGAAATATAAAATTAGATAGTGTATACTTTTCAAGAGCCACACACACAAATTTTCATTATGAGAAAATGGGACATGTCTTATAAAATCAGGTTGTGCCCAGCTCATGCGGCTCAGTGGTTGAGCATCAATCGACCCATGAACCAAGAGGACACCAGTTCTATTCCCGGTCAGGGCACATGCCCAGGTTGGGGCTCAATCCCCAGTAAGGGGCATGCAGGAGGCAGCTCAGTGATGTTTCTCTCTCATTGATGTTTCTATCTCTCTAACCCTCTCCCTTCCTTTCTCTCTAAAATAAATAAAAACATTAAAATTAAATGAATAAAAATAAAATCAGGTGGCCCTTTCCCTCAGAGCTTCTGTTCAAATCTCTTTTTATCCACATTTTCACTATTCCTTTGTCAAAAATCTTGATATTTCCTAAATAAAAAATTTTAAAAAAGAATATTTCCTGACTTTCTCACAGCAAATAAGACATTTTCTTTTGTTTATAACAGTCTTATAATCTTATCTCCCCTGAATACCTATATATGATATCTCATGTCACAAAGTCTACCATCTATAAGAATTCTCAGCTCCCATTCTAAAATCTTTTCATCCATTCAACTAGAACCCTGAACCATGTTTAGTCAATTCCCTGTTTCCTTCACTTTAAGCAATTGCCTTCAATCAAAATAATTCTATTTTTCTCTTTTCTACCTAATTTTGTTTTCCCCCCAAGTCTCAGAACCATAAATGTTGTTATTCTCATATACTCATTCCTCCTTTATTTATAGACTTCTCCTTTTTCACCTTTCTTAATCACCTCTTTTTTACTCTTTTTCTTGCAACAAGCTTGTTCCCTTTCATTGGTTTTGAAACAGCTTTTTATATATTTAAAAATAATTCAACGAACACTTTTGAGACACTATGGCATTCTAGTATGATGCCGGGAACATCAGTGGTTTCTTGCCCTGTTAAGCTTCCAGTTTGGTAAGCAAGAAAGGCACAAACAATTTGAAAATAACAAAGTAGTACTCTTTAAGACAAAAGTATGCTCTAGCTGCTAGAGAAGCACTTATTGCCAGAACCAGCAGCTCCTGAGTTAAGTCTTATACCAGAAGGAATGAAGCTAGAGGTAAAGGCTAGATGGGACTCCAGACAGAAGGAACAGCAAATGTAAAGACGAAGAGATTAAATAGCACTGGGGGTCTGAGAACTTCAAGCCATTCTGTATTATGACAGTACAAAGTGAGAGGAGGACAACAGGAGAAAAGGAAGTTAGAGATACAGACAGAAGCCAAAACACATTGTATTTTGAACTTGGACATAAGCAAAGTCTGTCTTATGAGTATAAAACTTCTCCCACACCTATTATCTGTGTGATATAGGAGTATTCCAGCTTTGGCTAACCCAAGATCACTTGTGAAGCAAAAATATAAAGATCACCTTGAAAGTTTGAAATGAAAATATTTTATTAACAAGAATTAAGCAGTATTTAATGCCAATCAATAGCTATAAACATCTATGTGGATGGGTTCTTCCTGATTGCTGTCTAACTTAAAGAAAGTCTATAAACAAAATCAGAAATTCTCTTCAAATACAAGTTAATAATCAAACTGCTCAGGTCCAGAATGCATAAAAATAAATACCTACATTTTATAGGGGGTACATGTTCATATTTTTTAAAATTCATTGTTATATAAACATATTGATACTCTGAAGAAAACTTAGTATCCCATGCAAAATTTTCTATATATATGTGTATCTGTGTTGGTGTGTGCATATGTGTGTTTATTTATTTTATTACATGGTAATAAATCTTCTCCCAAAAGCTTTATTTGGGGGAAGGGCAGGGGTTGAGGTAAAGGAAAGTCTATTAAATGGTAAACCTATCAGTAATCAAAAATAATATTTTATCTTCAAAAATAATATTGAGGCCACTACAACACTTAAATTCCATAAAAGAAATGACTGTTCCCACTTAAAATTCTAGAAAAATTTGTTTCTTTAATGAGTAACACCTGTAGCTACTCCCTATTTCAAACAATAATTACTATGTGAAATGCTCAATAAAAAGATAAATAACTTAAATACAATCTTTAACTCCTAAACTGGAAAAAAATATATAATGCTGATGAAGTAGCTCTTTTATTTTCCTTCACCTCTGCTTAAACAAATGAATATATTCCCACAGTAATTTTTCATTACATCGTATTAAATATTAAGAAGGAGAAGTAAACTCACTTGCATCTGCCTGGCTCCCCACACTGATGTACCGGTCGTTGCTGGGAAGCGCGGTTTGGTAGTAAGCTGTCTCTTCCTGCTGAGGGGGCTTGGCATTCTTTGCAGTCAGGAAAGCCACTGCTAATTCCAAGTTTCCATTACTGTCCTTCAAATATCAAGAACAAAATATCAAATATTTTGAACTATTTCTATACATCCTCATGATTTATGTAATTTTCTTCATAACAACTAATACTTAATAGCAAAAATTGTTTTCAGATTTGAAATTATTGTTGATTCTAATTTTGTACCCTAAATTCATTGTAAACAAAGTATACTATATCAATAGTAATTCCTGTTTCTATTAATTAAAACTATTAATACAATGTAAAAATCAATTATATAACTAATTCCTTATTTTTCCATTACTTTCATATCTGCTTAACAAAAATCAATCGAAAACTTATACTTCTAAACCAATGAACAAACTAAAAAATGTTTTCTGGAGCTTGCTATATAAAAGTGTAAAAAATGAGTATTTATAACAGTACTTCTGTAAACAAGGACAATAAAAGATGTTCCCTTTAATATGGATGCTGAATCCATGCCTACAGGCAAACTTAAGCAAATGTCAAAGGCTTGTAGAAAGAAAATAGTAAAATGTTCTGCAGCTTGATAGTATGAAGAGACACTCGGAACTCCTAGACCAGTGGTTCTCAACCTTCCTAATGCCGCGACCCTTTAATACAGTTCCTCATGTTGTGGTGACCCCCAACCATAAAATTATTTTCGTTGCTACTTCATAACTGTAATTTTGCTACTGTTATGAATCGTAATGTAAATATCTGATATGCAGGATGTATTTTCATTGTTACAAATTGAACATAATTAAAGCATAGTGATTAATCACAAAAACAATATGTAATTATATATGTGTTTTCCGATGGTCTTAGGCAACCCCTGTGAAAGGGTCGTTCGACCCCCAAAGGGATCGCGACCCACAGGTTGAGAACCGCTGTCCTAGACAGAATGCTCAATGATAAGATGATGATCCCACCCAACCTATACATACTAATAAAGTTTATGTAATTCTCAAAAAAAGCATACCTAGACACAACTTTTTTCTACAGTTAATTTAGAAAAAAAGTAGATGCTAGGAAACTGAGAATTTCTAAAACAACAAAAGAATGACTTGCTCAGTTTTATCTCTATATTCTCTGTACACTTAATACATGTAATAGTAGTTCTATGGCAGCTAATTCAAACAACATTAAGAAATCCAAATGTTAATAGTGAAGTTATCTTTATAACAGAAAACCAGAGGACACAAGCTGTGCAGGCCTTAGGAACTTTCCCCCACACACAAAGTGTAATAGGAAGTCAGTGGAGTGATTTGGACAGAAATGGCATGGTATGTCTTACATTTAAAGGACCGCTCTACTGTTTGTTGAGAATAGATTATAGACAGAAAGGGCAGCAGCAAAGCCCAACATCATTTGCTATCATATTAAATATGGGGGGGGGGAATGACAGAAAGAAAAAGATCAGGATGATTCCAAGACCTGAGGCCTGAGCTATGGAAGAATGAAGTCCCCAACGCACTCACTCCAATTCTAGTAGCTAGTGAGGAGAGAAAAGGTCACGGTGCAATTTGAAAAGCACCACTGCTTTAAACTCTGTCACAATTATTATAAGACTCCTAAATGAATGATTCATCCAAAATATGGCTGTAACATATTTTATAGTTTAATAAGTAAACCAGTTGTAAAATAATTTGCAATAATAATGGCTAATATTTATTGAGCACTTACTATGTGCCAAGAAGTGTGCTAAGTGCATTTCATACACTATCTTATGCCATAACAAACTGCAACTAGGATTTACACAACCTAAAGGTTACTAACTTTGGAGGGCTAAAGATAGATATTCAAAATAAAATAAAAGTCCTGAAATCAATCAATAATATTGTGGCTCCCAACAGTAAACTACCTGTCAGTCTATGACTGCGAGAGTCAAGATATTATTAAACATCTTACAAATTTATATTGGGCAACAGTTAAGGTTCAAGCACAATGTCTCCCCCAACCCCCAGGCCAGCTACTGGTACCAGAATCAAAAGTTTAAAACAAAAACAAAAAGAAATAAAGTCACACAGCTTACCTCAAAGAAAATGTGGACAAGAATTTAATTAATTCTTTATTATTATTTAATTAAACATATCCTACATATTTCCCAAGTTAAAAAAGAAAATTTCCTAGATTTGCCCTGACAATATAATGGTGTATACTCCCACTCAGTGGTACAGAATGGGAAAGACACTCTCTGAAAATACACATGGGGTGATTTGGTCAGGTTATCAGAATAAAGAAAAAAGTGGCAATCATCCAGACGTCATAATTATAAAAACAGAGTACAACACTTTTGCTTACTGTCCAAATATATAAATTGGCTTCATAACCCATGCATTGAGGCTCTAAACAGTACTGTCTCATCATTTTTCTAATGGGGAAAAAGCTGAAGCAAAGCTTCTAGTAAAATCAGAAGTTCAGTGTGGCCCCCCCGGAACCAGGCTTCTTGGTTTCTATTCTAAGCTCCTCCACATACTAGCTGTGTGGTCTTAAGCAAGTCACGTTAACCTCTGTCTCCTAATCTTTTAAAAGGAGGTGAAAATAATACCTACCTCATAGAGCTATTAGGAGGATGTTATCCACATGAAGTATTGAGAATAGCAGCTAGTACTGTAAGGGCCTAACAAGTGCTATGATCACTATCATTATGATGATTATGATTACACTCATCTAAATGACAAATTATTGCTAGAAACAAATGAAGAATTGGGGGCTCAGAATAAAAAATTACATAATTTTGCCTCATGGAGCAAGTTCCAAAGGACTGAAGTTGTATGAAGGCCTAGAGTGGCACAAACACTGTAAATTTAAATTCTTAAACATCTTTCCGTCACTTGATCTTTTTTTTTTAATATGTTTTTATTGATTTTAGAGAGAGCAACATCATTTGGCTGCCTCCTGCTAGCCCCATACTGGGTATCGAGCCCACAACCCAGACATGTGCCCTGACATGGAATCAAACCAGTCACCTCCTGGTTCATGGGTTGATGCTCAACCACTGAGGCACTCAGGCCAGGCCACTTCATCTTTTCAATGCACGTATCCATGTGATCTGACTCATCTAGTGCCTTCATAAGATACAACCAAAATGATGCACTTTATTTGCTGCATATACTAAACAGGTTTGATGTTGAATATTCGTAAGGTACAATCAGTTGAATGTTAGCCAAATTATATTTCTCCTTGGAAGGAAATAAAAAAAGTAAGCTTTTGATCTTCTATTAATTTTCTACTCCTCTCTCCTCCTCTTCTTCTAACCCAACCCACTCTCCACACCATTTAAACTCTAACACGTGGCTCTTCAGTAATCAGCCATCTGCATCTGGATTCATCACAACCCTCCATTTTGCCATGAAAGTGTTTCTTACGTAGAGTTATCTGTCACTCCACAATATCTTGGAACATTAGGCTGCTGAAGCTAACATGCTCAAAACTATAGTATGTTAAATCTCTTATTTTATAGAAGTTCTTTCTTATATTTCTACTACTACCACATGGTATAACAAAAAACTCAACTTTCAAACATGGTAGGCAGTAAGACTAAAGGGGTTAACATGAACTATGTCATAAAACAGAGGTCATACCTTCAAGGCTTGCTGTAGTATCTGGGTGTCATTAATCCCAGTGATTTCTCTCAGCTGATTCAAAAACGTCTGCTGATGCTAAAGGAGGGGGAAAACCAAAATTATTACACTCTGAAATATGAAAATATGAATGACTTTGCGGGGGGGGGGGAGGGTGATGGAAAATGCAAATTAAACTAGAATTAAAAAGAACTTGAGACTGAACAAATTTCACTCTTTTAGGAAGAATGAACCATGCTATGTGGAGAACCTTACTCCATTCTCATGATTCCACCAAAAGGGAATTTTTACATTACTCCCCAAGAATAAGAGATCCTGAATTAAGTTTCTAGCTAGTCTTCACCACCTCATTCATGTCTCCCAAAATGAAAAGGAGTGATCTGCATGATGGATAAACCCAGGAAAACTAAGGAAAGTGTATCCATTGGGCTACTTCAAGGAGGTGATGGCCCTACTGACTGAAGTCAGGCAGTTCTAGGAATTTCTCCCTGCCTCTTGGGTCAGCCAACATCCAGGCACCTGGAATGTCTGAAAAAGACATGCTTTGGCAGGCCATGTACTATGTAGGTATACTACATCATGGGAATCCTAAGAGCTATTTGAGGAAAAAAGAGAATCATCTCATTCTCCAATCTGTCATAAAAGATCCTAAATAGAATTCATCTTTTGCTCCCATTTGCTTCAGACCTGTTCATATGCTATTGGTCTATACAGTAATTATACTTCACTAGTGGCCTGGTGCAGGAAATTCGTGCGGGGGGGAGGGGGGGTTTGTCCCGCAGCCCGGCCTGCACCCTCTCCAATCTGGGACCCCTCGGGGGATGTCCGACTGCCGGTTTAGGCCCAATCCCACAGGGATCGGAGCAAAACCGGCAGTTGGACATCCCTCTCACAATCTGGGACCACTGGCTCCTAACCGCTCACCTGCCTGCCTGCCTGATCGCCCCTAACCACTCTGCCTGCTGGCCTGACTGCCATCAACTGCCCCACCTTCCAGCCAGATCAAACCCCAACAGCCCCCCTGCCGCCATGCTCACCCCCAACAGCCCCCGTCAGCCTGCTCGCCCAAATGCCCCCTG